GTTGGCAAGGGTCTCTCTCTGTCTCCTTGGTTGCCTGTGGGCTGCCTCCACCTGTCAGCACCACTGTTTAAAGTTTCAGCTCCCTGAATCTCTGCATTGTAAGAATTTGTATCTTCTTGGGAAGTGGAGCCCAGTGGCGCGCAGCACACCGTGGAAGGGAAGAGGGCTTACCAGACCTTTGCTCTCCCACTGCCCATGCTTCTCGCTCAACCCGGTGCAAGATCTGACTTACAGATTCTTTCTTTCCCCCAGGGCCCTGGACGGGTCCCCCGCACCCCCACGCCCCGTCTCACTGGCTCGGGTTCAGGGCTGGCCTGTGGAGAACCCCCGCGAGCTCACGGCACTCCAATGTAAAGCCAGCCATTGCCGGCCCGCTTCCCAGGTCGCTTTTCTCTGAAAACCGACCCCAGTGCCTCCGGCTTCACAATTTGAGGAAACTGGGTCATTAGCAACGGCAACGCAAACCCAAGCGACTATCTCAGTTCATTCAGAGACTGACACCGCGAGACGAAGCGCGCGGGCGTAACGCGAGGCGCTCACCCGCGCACCTCCGGGTACCTCATCGTCGCCCCGCCCCGCAGCCTGTAGAGGGCGTGATGGAGGGCGTGGCTAGAGGCCAGTCCGCGACCCGCCCCTCCGGCCGCGCGCCAGCGGGCGGAAGTGACGTGTGCCCAGAGCCATTTCCGGCGGGCCGAAACTAGGAAGAAACTTGTAGCTGTTCAAGCGACCCAGCCTCCCCATCGCTGCTGCTGTTGTGTTCTGTTGGCCCGGGCCGCACAGAACGGTCGGGAGCCTAGGCCATGGGGCAGCCTGGGCCTTCTGCAGTGTGAGGCACGGGGCCTTCCGCGGCGCTCCGCTGACAGGCTGCGGGCGGGCAGGCGGGAGGCGTAGTGTGGGTCGCGGTCGCGGCCCCCGCCGCCGGCCCTGGCCGCGGCATCATGAACATAGACGTGGAGTTCCACATCCGGCACAACTACCCCTGGAACAAGTTGCCGGCCAACGTGAGACAGGTACGGCCGGAACCTGGGACTGGGCCCCTGACGGGTTCGGCCCGCCCAGCGGTCACCTGCTTGCCTTGCTCGTGGGGCCCGAGCGGGCTGCTCCCGGCTGACTCCCTTCCTTTACCCCTCCGTGGTCTTGGGGAGACAGACCCTCAGCCCAGGGCGAGGAGGGGACGGCTGTGGGACCACCGGGCCAGGACTGGGCCGTTGCTAAATGGGATAGCATGGTGTCCACAGGACTCGACTGGCGCCTTTGCCAGCAGCCTCCATTCAGCCGGGCACCTACGATAGAGATTTTAAACACGGTCCTTGACCTCCAGAATTTCAGGATGGTGGAAAAGGGATGGGAAACAAACGAATATGATACAGGGTGATAGCAGCTCATACACACCTCCATTGTAGTATATGTGAGAGCAAAAGGAGGGAGAAATTATCCTGGGAGAGTTGGAAGGATTTGTAAGGCAGGCTCTTAAATTGGGCCTTGGAGGACAAATAAGAGTTAAATAAGAGGGAATAAAGATTTTTCCAGTGGGGAGGGAAAGTCATTTTACAAAATTTGGATGAGTGAAAGAACATGTCTCATGAGTAGCAAGTGACTGTATCACCAGAGTTTGGATTGATATGTTTGGAGTTGAAGTTTTTTGAGTGCGCGGGGTTGGTAGCAGATGAGCCTGGGAAAGTGGTCAGGGCCAGATTTTGAAGGGGCTCGTGTGCGTTGTTTTGTTGGACTTTATCCTCCAGACAAGATGGGTTTATCAGAGATGTTTCAACAACAGTAACATGAGGTTTTTGAAAGTTAATGCTCGATTTTTTTCGCCTGTTTTACTCAGTTGTTTAATAGATATTTATTGAGCACCTACTAGGTGCTGTGTGTTGGTCTAGGTGCAGGCAATTTGCAACAGTCAACAAGACAAAGACTGCCTTCATGGAGCTTACATTTTACTAAAGAAAGATAGACGTAAACAAATAAATGAATAAATACGTAACATAGCAGATGGTTTTAAGTCTTACAAAAGTAGTGATATGGGCTACAGATAAGGCACTGCTGCTCTGGTCATAGATTGACCTTCACATTATACGTGGTCGAGAGTGAAATTCAGTTTTCTGTTGGCGCTCGGCAGTGGCATTTTTGGGAAGTTTGGAATGGTGGTGGTGATGGTATATAAAGATTATTTATTTATTTATATTTATTATTATTATTATTTTTTTGAGACAGAGTCTCCTTCTGTTGCCCAGGCTGCAGTGCAGTGGTGTGATCTCCGCTCACTGCAAACTCTGCATCTCCGGTTCAAGCGATTCTCCTGCCTCAGCCTCCTGAGTAGCTGGTACTACAGGTGCGCGCCACCACGCCCAGCTAATTTTTGTATTTTTAGTGGAGACGGGGTTTCACCATGTTGGCCAGGCTGGTCTAAATATCTTGACCTCATGATCCGCCCGCCACGGCCTTCCAAAGTGCTGGGATTACAGGCGTGAGCCACGGTGCCAAGCTGGTATAAGGATTATTATAGTTTAGTTTACTTTGCTCCCTTCCTTCCTCCCTTGGGGGTTTAGTGCCAGGAAGTGAATATTAAGGTTCTAGTCATGCATCATGTGGCTAAGAAAATGCTTTCACTTTAATATAGCAAAAAGCAAGAAAGATAAATTTAAAGAACTTGAATTCTTGGGTGTCAGTGGCTGCCCGTGTGGCTTTTATCTTTAACTGGGAGAACAAAGCTCTAAACCTGAAGGAATAAATATCTTTTGTTAATCTTGAATAAAGGCTTTAAAGGACACTTGTACTTTAGGGTTTTGTGGCAAATCCAAAGACACAAGAAGAACAAACAATTCTTCTTTTCTTTGTTTCTGTTTTTTCTGTACTCTTTTCATCAGAATAAATGTAGCATACTGGAAGAAAGGTGAGTGATGAGGTTATATCCAACATGAATATTTGACTTTAATTAGTATTGGCAAAAGAGTTTCTAAAACGTAGTCATGACTATTTAAAAATAATCACAAGACAGTTAAAATTAGGTCTAAATGTGAAATTAAGTATGTTTTTGTTTTTAAGGTCACTTGAAACAGTGGCTATTTTAGCTTAGGATAAGATTGGCTGTTTGTAGATGTTGCAAAACCCGTCTGTACAAGTTTACTTCCAAGGACCTTCTCTAGCCTAATCACTCTTTCCCTAGGCTGAGCTCCATCTGAGATTACTTTATCAGCCTTCTCTTTGGTCTCTTGCTCTTAGAATAGGACTTTCTCCTGCATTCTTCATGCTATTCTGGGGTTGAGGCTTCTGAAATGCAAACCCAACCTTATTACTGCCTGTCTCCTTTATATTGCTTGTATTAATAGCTTATTTTGATTCTCACTCAGATACTGCTCCTGGGAGGTTTCCCTGACCTAAATCTGTGGTGGTTGCCCCTAGGCTATCTTACCATTGCATTGTATTCCTCACCCATCATAGAGCTTACCCCACTGTGGTGCATTTTGTGGTTACAATACTGGCTTTGCTTTTGTACCTTGGGCACCTCTCACATACTTGGCTTTTAGTAAGTATTTGTGGCTGAGCACCTAAAGCTCAGTCAGTTTAAACTTGGGCAATATTCCTTGTATGGAAAGAATTTGTCTTTTGGCATTATAGATTTTTAGATACTTTGATGTCGTTTCCAGTAAGTTTTGATGGGTTTACTTTGGAAATGACTCATTTTCCAGTTCTGTAAGCTGGGGACAGGTGATTTAGATTTTTAAAAAATGTATTTTAAGCTAATTCATTTTTATGTGGATGAGAGGACATTTAAAAAAATGTGGTATGGGTCATGATAGACTTTTAAAAAATATATTAAAAATTGTGGATGGGGCCATTATATCAGGATTTTTCTGTAGTTTACCAATGTCTTGTATTCTTTATTCAAAATAATTAATAGTCCTTTTATTTTAAGGGAAATCTTGTGATAAGATTCTGTATCATCCAAGAAGGGTCAGTTTAAAAAATTTTTTGATAGGGCTCGGGGGTGTACTTGGGGATGTATATGCTGGGATTGGAGTCTGTAGGAGCACAGGTTTCAGAAAATCTTTGTGCTTTTAGCATAATCTGTGATGGGCGCTTTAGAGCTAGTGTCTTATTCTTACATCGCAGTTTCATCTGATGTAGTTCCTTTTATATGCAGCCCAGCTTCATTTGTCAGACCTGGTCAGTATTTCTGCAGGGCTAGAGTTGTCTCGGGGTAAGATGACTTTTTTTTTTTCCTTCCTTTTAAAAAGTTACCTTCTGTAGTGGCAACAGTGTTTTAAAATTTGAATGGGGGGAGATGTGGGGTAGGAGTAGGAGGGGAGCCCAAGAATCTCAGAATAAAGCAATTTATATTACATACTTGGCTAGTGAAGAATAAAGCCAACTTTTAATGTGGGTTTTAGAAATTTGTGTTCACTCGTGTATTAATTGATACGTTCAGGATCAGTCATTGCTTAATGCTGAGAGCCAAAGCTTACAAATTTGATAGGTAGTGTATTAAGAGACTTATTTTGAAACAGAAGAGCAAAACCTCCAGTTAGATTTTAGCAAAATTGTGTGCTTGTGTGAGTATGCATGTGTATTTGTGCTCCCTGAGAAAGAGATTTTCATTTAGCAGTAGAGACAGAGAAAACCTTTAAAAGTGTGCTATTTTGAATCCTCTAAATATTGTCAGTACAACGATCCTGGCATTGATGCTACAAAGAGGATGGTAGAGTGGTTTCTCTACAATGAGATCTACTCTTAACCCCTTATAATGTTAAGACAGATGAAAATAAGATAAGCACATACATTCTGGTTCTACTGTGAGTTCTGGCTTAGCCTGTGATAAACTAAGCTAGATGCAGGAAGAAAGCTCACCCTTGAACAACATGGGGTTAGGGGTGCTGCACCCCTGTGCAGTTGAAAATCCATGTATAACTTTTGACTTTCCCAAAACTTAACTACTAATAGCCTATACTGTTGACTGGAAGCCTCAGCCATAACACAGTTGATGAACACATATTTTGTATGTTGTATATATTGTTAATATATGCTCTATTGTAATAAAATAAGCTAGAGAAAAGAAAAGGCTGTTATGAAAATCATAATATTTTCTAGTCATTAAGAGGAGATGGCTCATCATGGAGGTCTTCATCCTTGTCTTCACATCAAGTAGGCTGAGGAGGAGGAAATACAGGAAGTATTGGTCTTGCTGTTCAGGGTGGCAGAGGAGGAAGAAAATCCCAGTGTAAGTGGACCTTTGCAGTTCAAACCCATGTTGTCCAAGGGCCAACCGCACATAATTGTACAGTTAAAATATGACACATCATGTTCCATTTTTCTTAAAATATTACCTACAAATGGGTCCAGTTATGGGTCAGTTTACTTAGATGTGAATTTCATCTGTCTTATTGTGAAGATTGCCTTAAGTGAAAGATGTAGGGACCTTTCTTTGGTTTTGGCTTACCTATGAGTAAGAAATATGATGAACTAAATCCTCTGATCTTTCTGTCATTACTTTCCTAAGATGTCTAATTTCACTTTATAGCATGTTGGAAAGACCATACCTAGAAATTAGAAGGGGGATAGCAGTCATATATTAAGTTTATGGTCTCACAATGAATAGTACATATACACGGTGAATAATACACAGTGAATAATAATGTTAACTATAATCAGGCAAACTTGTTTGCTTTCATGAACACTGCAACAAAACACTAAGTGCATAACTAGAAAGACTTTAGCTTATTAAAAATAGATCAGAATTCTAAAATTGTCTGAATGCTTTCTAATGAGGCCAGAGGACGTTGCATTTTTAAGAAACAATCTTATGTACATTTAAATGTAAATTCTCCAGAAATCCTGATCTTTAATAATTATAACCCTCAGTTACAAACAATTAGCAAAGAGGGATATATCTGTCCTTAGTTGCCATTCTTAAATTTAAATAAATGTAGGGGCAGGAAACCATCTATCTGTCCACTTAACATAGCAGTCCGGAAGGAAATCTTTATAAGCAGAACTTAGCTCTGTGTTAACTAAAGTGAAGTTATACTCACCTACTGGTTTTTATTTGATATTAAATACTTAGGATAATTTTAGTAAACTCTTGAAGGCAGACTGAAAATACGTTAAATTTTTGCTGTGAATACTGTAGCAGGAAAGGTAGTATAATAATATTTAAGAAAATATTTTTTATTTAATTCTGGAAATTAGAGATGCCAGGATAAAACTGGGGGTCGTGGTTTTAAAGTGCTATGGGAAAAATAGTACTATTGTTCAGTTTGGAAGTTGTTTAAAATCTTTCTGAAATTTCTTCTAGAGTCTTGGAAATTCACAGAGAGAATATGAAAAGCAGGTTGTCCTGTACAGTATCCGCAATCAGTTACGATATAGAAATAACTTAGGTAAGTAGAGGCATGTTTATATTGGGATGGAACTGACCATTGCTTTATCACATTCGTAAATCTTTCTTTTCAATACACATTTTGTAATACTGAAATTATTCCATGTACGGACTTTAAGAAACTCTACACTGATGCATTCCACCTAACAACAATTTGTATTAGCAAGTAGATTTTTCATTCTAATTCTGATAAAAATTATTTTTAGAGTACTGTTTAAAGACCCATTTTATCTATAAAACAATCCTAATTCAAATGTCCTCTTTTTGCCTGAAGCAAGAAAATATGCCATAAAATAAAAAGTATACTAGTTCTTAGTAATTTTTGACTTTGAGTTGTCTTCATAAATTTTCCAAATAATGTGAAAAACTCTTTCCATAATAATTGGGACACATTTTAAACATAGTTCATTCCATGGTTTTTTTTTCTTCTTTCTAAAAAAAAATTGTTTATCAGATTATTTTGGTTAGTCTATTCTGTTGCCCTGGTAGTCTTTCACTCCTGTTTGTTACTCTTATTTTAAGCATAATATTTCTGACATTGCTTTTTTTCCTGAACATTTTCCATGAAAGTCAAAGGGCTTTTTACATTTAAAAACTAAAAAAATAGCACATAATTTTAAAAAATAGATTTGACTTCATTGAAAACTAGCATTCAGTTTGGCTCTTTTGTAAAGTAATAGAATACAATTCAATAAACCTCTGTTTTGTACCTTTTGGGGGAGCATGCTGGTAGTTCCCTGCTTGTTTTCTCGTTTGGCAAGAATTATTCTCTACTAATCTGCCCTATTATACATTTGACTTCTATACTCTAAAATCTATTTCATGTGATATAATTGTTTCTTTGTTCCAACTTAGAATGTTTTGTTTGTTCTCTTGTAACTTACATACTTTTCTTTTAAATTACTGTTGGTTTGTAAAGTATTTATAGTTAATATATAACTGTAAGAAACCTGAAAAAAAACTGGACAATTTCCCCCTTTTGTGCAGTTAAACATGTCAAGAAAGATGAACGCAGATACTATGAGGAACTGCTAAAGTACAGCCGAGATCATCTCATGCTGTACCCTTACCATCTATCGGATATTATGGTGAAGGGCTTGAGGATAACACCATTTTCATATTATACTGGGATTATGGAGGTGAGTTTATAGTGTGGGTGAGCCATTGGGAATGGGATGGGACTACATGTCTGGGACTTTTTCAGGTGTTCATCAACTCTTCAGCTGTCATCTGCGGTGGACACTCTTTCTGAACTATAAGTGTAAAAAGGACTGTTGGTGGCAAGTTAACTGTTTGAGCCACACTGTACAAGTACTTATCCTTGTTGATGTTTTTATATTGGGAAGGTGTCTATTTCTATTCTGGTTCTTGAAGGTGCTGTTGACCCTTTGTGCTGTTGTAGCACTGATCAGTCATTTATATTAGCAGAATCTGTAAATTTTACTGCTTTTTAAAACATGATTAAGGCTGAAAATGTGGGTGACAGAATTGAACATTAGGCTCTGAGAAAATTATATGTATTTAGGCCGGGTGCAGTGGCTCAAGCCTGTAATCCCAGCACTTTGGGAGGCCAAGGTGGGTGGATTACAAGGTCAGGAGATCAAGACCACCTGGCCAACATGGTGAAACCTCATCTCTACTAAAAGTACAAAAATTAGCCAGCCGTGGTGGTGTGCACCTGTAATCCCAGCTACTTGGGAGGCTGAGGTGGGAGAATCGCTTGAACCTAGGAGATGGAGGTTGCAGTGAGCCGAGATAGCACCACTGCACTCCATCCTGGGCAACAGAGCAAGACTCTGTCTCAAAAAAAAAAAAAAAAAAAAAGAAAATTAATATATTTACATATTCACTAACTGTCTAACAAATAAATGATGACATAGATCCAACATTATATAATACAGGTATCAGAAAAGAGAAATATGTTAGTAGTCTTGGCTGTTAATCTCTTTCTATAATTATTAACTTTTAGTTTTTAGCCTTTTTCCAAAGACAGCTTTTAGGCTTGTATTGGATAACTTTAATACTAGTTGTATACTGTTTTCAAGTGAGCTTTATGAAAGATTGGCAATATTTATTTAGTATTCATTTGTTCTTTATTTATGTTTGAGTGCTCCTGTTTGGGGCTCACTAGCCACTTGAAGAGCAGAGAGGAGCCTAGAACTAAAGGAGTTGGGAACCTATGGTAACATGAGGTTAGCCCCGCTTATGATGTGTCCTTTGCTGTTCGATCCCTTCGCTTATCTACAAAAGCCCCTCCTTTGTGGGCTTCTTCTGCAGTCCCATGCATCCCTTGTTCCTCTTTTGAAGGAAATACCAGAGGAAAGCGAGAGGCCCGATAGCGCAGGTACCTTAGTGAAGAACCAGGGTAGCACAATGAAGGTGGCAGCTAATCAGGAAGTAGAATAGTTACTGCTGTCTCTGTATTTTTCTAGTGTAGTCCACACATTTGGGAGCTAAAATAGGTGGAGTTTTTGTTTCATTTACCAGCTTTCATTTCAGTTACATCCACATGGTTGCTGCATTCTGGTTTCTGTTCTTATATCATTGGGTATAGTTCCTGGGTTGAAAATGGGCCTTGTGCCCCCAGGAAGCAGTGGGTTTGTTATTGGAGAAACAGATTGGGGTAGAAAAAGCTGGATACGAAGTTTAAGTCTTCTACGAATTGGGACTTATAGGATCAAAGGCCACTAAGTGGTTACAGTCTTCATTGGTAGTGCATGTTGACGGAGCTGTGGCACATTATTTGTTTCTCTCTCATGGTGTGGATCTAGGATCAGGTATGAAATATGGAGAGGCTGGAACCCTGAGCTCTAGTAGAGGCATTACTTACATAGCTTCCACAGGGCAGAAGTTATGGGGCAGCTGTCTGGGATTCGTAGAGAGCCTCGTAAGAAACCCAGACCTGAAAATCTGCCCTTTAATTACCAGGTTGGGAACATGTGTGGGAAGTGCCACAGGGTGGCATGTATGCTCTAGGTAGCCAAACTGTGATCTCACTGCTTCCTGTAATAATCATTGTTATTGGCTGTAATAATATTGTAGTCATACACATTTTTATTTAAGGACATTTTAGATTTCAAATTAAAAATTTTTTTCTTTTTAAAAGGATATTATGAACAGTGAGAAAAGTTATGATTCATTGCCCAATTTTACTGCTGCTGACTGTAAGTATTTAATTGTGCTGAAGAAGGTAATGTTTAGGTTGTGTCTGTGCATCCTGTCATCTGTTAATATTGTAATGTGTGTTTTTAACCTGAAATATGTGAAAAATGAAAACAGTAAGCAACATAAGTAGTGGGAATTTTATCAGATGATACCAGACGCATGTATAAGATTTACTCTAAATGTCTAAGAGAGGAATATTTGAGAGGGGTAGAATCAGAAAAATAGGACTAATCTATATATTTCCAGAGAATGAAGTTCTTTCTGATACTTGGGCTGTGTGTGTATTAAATGTGGGAGGAAAACTTGTACACAGTATTTTTGCAGGTCAGTTTTTAGTAACTTGCTGCTGTTTTATTATGCTTACATTGGCAAAGTGTGTATTTTGAATGTGTCATAATTCTGTTGTTTAAGAAGCTTTCGCTGAGAATTACATTTTGACTCCCTAAAATTGGCAGGAGTTCTGCTTTTTACAAATGTTTTTATTTGTTAGAAGTGTCAGCTTGATTTCATCTCTCCCAAAGTTTAGCTTTTATGTTTTCTTTGAAGACTTCCTTTTAATTTGATATTGATATTTGATTAGTAATTGAAAGATGAACATAAATTCAGGCTTTTCCTACAATCACTTGTGAGTGTATTGAGATTTCAAGATATATTAAATGTTTTTAAAGGAAAGACTTTTTTTCAGGTCTAAGGCTTCTTGGCATAGGAAGAAACCAGTATATTGATCTTATGAATCAATGTAGATCATCAAAAGTAAGTTAGTACTTTCCCTTTCTTTTTCATTGTTTTGGCCTCATCACACAGTTTGATTAGTTTTTTTAAGCGGTAGAAATAATGAATTGTTTGTCTGTGACCAAATAAAATGTACTTAACACAGAAACAATACAAAAAGAACTCCTCGGTATTCTCTAGGTTATAGCTTAAATGATTATTTAAAATGTTTAATGCATAAAACATTTACTTTTAAAAATTATTTTTGTTCTCTTAGTCTTTTTATTTGCTTATTCTACTTGTAGAGTTCACTTAATGGGTGAAATAAGTGTTCGCATTTTCAAATGCAGTTTTTACTGCTTGGGTTTCACTTGAGTTTCTGGAAGTAAATCTGGATTTAACAATTAGTGTTTTGAAATAATTTATTTTGAAACAATTTAAGAATGACTTTCTTCATACAATATGTTAATATCTAGAATTATTAAGATTTTAAAACATGAAGGTTTAAGAAGATACTTATTTAGTCCGTTACAAACAATCTTATGATATGATTGATGAAAGAAGAAAGTGATAATTTTAGATTGCAAATTCTCAAGTGTTTGTACCATTGCAGAAATTCTTCAGAAGGAAAACAGCCCGTGATCTTCTACCAATAAAGCCGGTGGAAATTGCCATAGAGGCGTGGTGGGTGGTGCAGGCTGGATATATCACAGAAGATGACATCAAGGTAGAAATCTTTAAAAGTGAAACATAGGATTTTTAGTTTTTAGTTTATTTTACAATTTTTAATTATAGCTTATACTTTTTAAAAAAGTAACATTATTTTGTTTTCCTGAAGAAAATGAAACTTAAACTTAAATTTTAAAATGATCTTAGTAGACTAGAATATTGGTGAGTTTCAGAGATACTTTCTAATGGTGAGGGAGACCTGACTTGGTTCAAGTACAGTTATCTGGGGATGTTAATTAGGTAGAAACTTCATGTAAAGTAACATATGATGCCACAGCTACCACTAACAATAATATTGGCTAACACTTTTGAACATCTGCTGTATGCTAGATGTGCCAGGCTCTATTGCAAGTGCTTTTTATATTGTCTTACTTAATATGTATTATTTGCACCCCCATTTCACAGATAAGGAAAGTGAGCCCAGAACAATTAAGTAACACCTCAAATCTTAGCAGTAGTAAAGGTCCAGGATTTTTTGGCAGTTTGCCATGAAACTTGTACTCTTAATCACCGTGAAGAACTGTTGTACTGAGGCAGTAGGTGCTTTTATGGGGCGATAGTGTCAAGATCAAGAGAGTTGATATTCCCAGTGGTCAGACCACATCTTGGAAGGGATATTGATTTAGAGGAAAGGGGTGGAGTAATGAGGGCACCTAGAGACCAGGTTGTATTTATGTGTAGCTGAAGCAATGTAAATGAGTATGTAGGCTTCTTTTTAGTCTGCATTTAATTTTCTCCAGAGTACGTACTAAATCCAATGAGCGGAAGGCTTAGAAATTTTACTTCAGTCTAAAGTACCTCCTAATGGAGCTCTCAAATAAGCTAGTGAACTTTCCTTTTACTGACAATATTCATGTGCAGTTTAACTAAACTTCTGATTAGAGAGATTCTGAGTTGGCAGATGGATCTAATTCCAATTCAATGACAAGGAACAAATATTACTCACCAGCAAATGTTGGTACTTACAGTAAGTTTGTTCTCTACATTCTGTTGGTATGTTGCATATTTTGGCACCTTAATTGATGGCTATGTGCATAGTTTTTTGTTTGAATTATAGAGTGATAAATATGTAGTTCATTGAGCTAATAACATGTAATCACTGGTTTCAACATAAATAAATTTCAGGAGACTTGTAAATTAGTTAATTTGGACAGAACTTAATTAAAAATATTTTGCTTTTCTTAGATATGCACTTTGCCTGA